ATCAGGATAAACGTAACAATTTTGATCATCTGGTCCTGAGTAAGAACCATCCCAAGTAGCCATAATTTTTCTAATGAGTATATTTATGAAATATTTTCTTCGTTATAATTTATTATACAATAAATATAACAACAATACAGTTATGCTTATAAATCTCTTTTGATACAATATTGAATTGACACGCAATCAAAACCTAAATATGATCAACTTATTATTCTAAAAATTTTATAAACTTAAATTATTTACATTTTAAAATAAAATATAATATGAATACTTAATAATTACAATATAATAAATACCTTAAGAATTCTGCAAAAAATAATATAAGAGCGATATTGTAAGACGAAAAGGTACGAAAGCGTTTTTACTCGTGACTTATCGAGCACGAATCATATAATCAAAACATGTAATTAAAATTTCATAGAAATTGCATATTCGAACAATTAAATCAAATTGTAATTGTGTGAAATAATATTTAGAAAATTTAGAATATTTTATAACAAAAAAATTTACATATTACATTTAACATAAAAGTTAATTGTACTTACAATGAGAGATCTTTAGAACCTTGTTAGATATTGAATGAACGAAAGAATTAATTTACTATTTATGGGATAGATGGCACTATAGCGTCATATTCAATTTAATTTACTACGATTCTTAATCTTTTATACTTATTTATGGTATTATAAATAAATATTGAAAATCATATATTATGCTATAAATATATTATCAATTTTATAAAATTTTTCTTTAATTATACATATATAATATTATGTTAAAGTGTTAATTTATTCAAAGATAGTATTATACTATTAATCTTCTAAATATATTTACAGGGTTATTCTCGTAATTTATTCTTGTAAGTTGCATTATTTTATTTTTAGATTTTTAATTTTATATATTATAAAAATTTATGTATTATAAATAACTATGTACTTTTTTAAATAAGTTTTAAATTATTTTTCTTACTTTTCATTTAGCAAAAATATGACAACAGAAGAAGGAAATCGTAACTCAACATTACAATCATTAGAAGAAAATGGTGTAACTAGTACATCACAACATGCAGGAAATAGTAGAGAATCAAATACTGCCAGATCTCAGGAACAAAGTAGTCGACAAAATAATCTGCAAAGAATACAACAAAGAAAACAACAAATGTTAAATTTACCACAAATGAAAAAAATATTAAAAATTGCAACATATAGTGCATGTAAAGTTGATGATTGCAAATGTATTGGATGGAAAAATTCTCAAATAATAACTAAATCTAAAAATGATTCACAACAACCTGTTATAAATTTTTTTGATCCTTGTAAAAGTTGTAAACATGTTTTAGAAAATCATGTTTCACATTTAACTAATCAATCAGAAGAAGAAATCAATAAATTATTATGTATGGTCATAGATGCTGATAATATTTTTCTAGGATTACAAAAAGAAGAAGATCCTGATACGAAAAAAGTTTATTTCTATTTATATAAACTTTTGAGAAAATGTATACAATCTATGACTAAACCTATAATAGAAGGTCCTTTAGGACAACCACCTTTTGAACGACCTAGTATTGCAAAAGCAGTAATGAATTTTGTTGCTTATAAATATGGTCATTTACCACAAAGAGATATGCAAGCTATGTGTGATATGGCAAAGATGTTTTTACATTGCTTAAATCATTGGAACTTTGATCCACTTAGTGCTAGAAGAGGCACAATCAGTGCAGAGGAAGCTCCTGCATATAAAATCAATCATACTCGTTGGCTTGTGTTCTGTCATATACCAGCATTTTGTGATTCATTACCTCATTACGATACATCTCTAGTTTTTGGACGAACATTTGTTCAAGCTGTTTTTAAACCTGTTTCTAGACAATTATTAGATAAATGTCATAGTGAACGAGATAAATTGGCACCAGAGAAAAGAGTAATAGTATTAACACATTTTCCTAAGTATATAAAACTTTTCATTTTTGTTTCATATTATTTTATTAATTGATGTATAATATATTTATTTGATTTAATTTTTTAGATTCTTATCAATGTTAGAAACAGAAATTTATTCTGATAATTCACCAATCTGGGATCCTGATTACAAACAAGTACCTCCTACTTATTTACAATCTGCTTTGGAATCAAAAGCAAATCAAACAAGAAGAACAGGTGAATTTGAAAAAGTCACTGTTCCACCAAATGATAAAGATAATTATACAACAATTAATATAAGTCCTGGTATAAAAAAAATTCACGAAAAAAGATCACATTCTGAAGGTCGTTCAGATGTAAAAAGAAGAAAAAATGAAGAAATTTTTGAAGATTTATCAGAAGAAACAGTTGCTGAAATTGTTGCAACCATTAATGATCCTAATTATATGTGTGGACCTGATGCAGTATTTCCACCAAATGTTCCACGAGATGAAACTGCTAAAATTGAAGAAAGCAGAAAGATTATAGAATTTCATGTAGTTGGAAACAGTTTAACACAACCAGTTTCTAAACAAACAATGCTTTGGTTAATTGGACTACATAATGTATTTAGCCATCAATTACCTAAAATGCCAAAAGAATATATATCTCAATTAGTTTTTGACCCGTTAAGTATACTATAATATAATAAGTATATTATATAATAGAATAAGTATATTTTTTTGATTACATTTTTTTATAATATTTTCTTTATTTATAGAAAACATAAAACATTAGCCCTAATAAAAGATGGTCGACCAATTGGTGGTATCTGTTTTCGAATGTTTCCCACTCAAGGTTTTACAGAAATAGTATTTTGTGCTCTTACCAGTGAAGAACAAGTTAAAGGCTATGGTACACACTTAATGAACATGCTTAAAGATTATCATATAAAAAATAATATATTACATTTTCTTACATTTGCGGATGAATTTGCAATTGGATATTTCAAAAAACAAGGATTTAGTAAAGATATAAAATTACCTCGATCGATGTATCAAGGATATATTAAGGATTATGAGGGTGCAACATTAATGCATTGTGAATTAAATGCAAAAATTGTATATACTGAATTCACGGCTGTTATACGAAAACAAAAAGAAATTATTAAAAAGCTAATTCATCAAAGACAACAGGAAATACAAAAAGTCCATCCTGGTTTAACATGTTTCAAAGAAGGTGTTAGAGGAATTCCAGTAGAGTCTATTCCTGGTATTCGTGAAACTGGTTGGAAAAATTATGCTCAGACAAGAACAAGAGGAGTAGCTAAAGGAACTCAAGGACCAGAACCAATGGAAGCATGCTTAGATATCACAGATTCTTTATATAATGCATTAAAAAATGTTTTAAATAGTGTAAAAAACCACAGTACAGCATGGCCATTTTTAAAGCCTGTGGATAAAAATGATGTGCCAGATTATTATGATCATATTAAATATCCAATGGGTAAATATAATGAGAATTCAAATTATTATTAATCATTATTAATAATAAAAATAAATAATAAAAATGAAATTTTTAGTAATTTATATTTTTATACTTTTCAGATCTCAAAACTATGACTGAACGATTAAAAGCTAGATATTATGTTACAAGAAGATTATTTATTGCAGATATGACACGAATTTTTACTAATTGTCGTTTATATAACAGTCCCGATACTGAATATTATCGATGTGCTAATGCTTTAGAAAAATATTTCCAAACAAGAATGAAAGAAATTGGTCTTTGGGATAAATAAAAAATGTAAATTAAAAATAAATAATCATAGCTATAATTTCATTTGTAAATATAGTAATTTAAAATTAGTTAATTTGACAAAGAAAAAATTTTTAAAAGAATAAGAAAAATAATAAAAAATAAATTTATTTATTTATTTACCTATACAATGTCTATCTTTGAAATGAGTTAAAAATATTTATATTTAATATTTGCAATTTATAATAAATTTAATATTATATTCTTTTATCATTTTACACTCCAAAAGAAACGATTAAAAATAGAATATACAACTAATTCAAATTAGATACTTAATTTCACGGCCTAATTATGAGGATTAGTCGAACAGTTAATTAACGAATGTAATACACCGATTATAACGAGATTCTGCATAGTGATTATTCTATGGAACAGTGAATCTCTAAAATGCGTTAATTCTGGAAGACTTAGTAAACTGAAATTTCCATTTTCTATAAATATAATTAACTAAAATGAAATAAAATTAAAATAACAATAAACATTTGTATATAAAATATATTTTTTTTTAAATACAATTAAAAATTTATATACAAGGAAGAAAAATTCTTTTCTTTCTTTAATAAATTGTCTATGTATAGACTATTTAATTTTGTAATTCTTCACATATATATTTAATAAAATAAAAGTTTGGTTTTCACTTTCATTGATAAATTATAATTTACTTGTTCATGAATACAAATGAAGTAATCTAAATTATTTTAGTTAACAAAATTTAACATTGCTAAAGAGACGCGGAAATACCTTGTATGCTCTACTTCTTATAAAGTCTGTATGAACTTTAGTAACAATCTCTTAATTGGCATATATAAAAAACCAATTAAATTCTATCATAAAGTATTTATTTCAACTTTTATATTAAATATAATCATATCATTACTGTTATATGTTAGAAATATTGCATTATTAATACAATTATTATTCAAATTTTAAATTAAATTATATTAATTATAACAAATTTATTATCAATAAAAATATAAATAATAAAATAAATAATTAGATTTAAATATCAATGATATTTATTTGGAATTATAGAAATACAATGTACGAAAATTACTTCATTACATTAACTTGTACATATACTAATTCATTGAAGTGCTAGAAACTATTTAATATATAGGCATGAATGCATAGAGGTAGTATAAAAAGAGGGGGCATCAATATAAAGGAGCTCCATTCTTCAGCAGAAACAATATTAAAGAAGTCAATGTACTGTCGAGATAGTGCAAAATCTAGTCAAAAAAGCTTTTTACTATTTTTGGCAACCAACTTTAATCTTTTTGTATACAAGTAAAATAATTTTTGATTTAAAATGTGTGATGACGACGTAGCAGCTTTAGTAGTAGATAATGGATCAGGCATGTGTAAGGCAGGATTTGCAGGAGATGATGCTCCACGTGCTGTATTCCCTTCTATTGTTGGAAGACCTAGATATCAGGTAAAATTTATAATTAATAATTAATAATTAATAATTAATAAATTTAATTATTCATTAATTTATTTATATTATAAAATATTAATTTAATTTTATTCATTTTTCTGAAAATTAACAAGAATTTATCAAATTCATAAATAATTTTTCTTTGTGTATATATATATAATTATAAAATAATTGTGTTTTTATCATAATTTATAATTAAAAAAAATATTCTTAATATTATCAAATTATACAATTTTTAAATTTTAAAAATTCGATATAATAAAAATTCAATATTTAAATTTATAAGAAATTTACAAGGAAAAATTAATATTTATTATTTTATTTTTTTTTAATTTGAAAAATCAAATTAAAAAATTTATTTTTATTCTGAAAACAATAAAAATAATTATAATAGGGAATTATGGTTGGTATGGGACAAAAGGATAGTTATGTGGGAGATGAAGCACAAAGTAAAAGAGGTGTTTTAACAGTTAAATATCCAATTGAACATGGTATTGTAACAAATTGGGATGATATGGAAAAAATATGGCATCATACATTCTATAATGAATTAAGGATTGCTCCGGAAGAACACCCCGTTCTTCTGACTGAAGCTCCTTTGAATCCTAAAGCTAATCGAGAGAAGATGACACAAATTATGTTTGAAACTTTTAATTCTCCAGCAATGTATGTCGCCATACAAGCTGTTTTATCACTTTACGCTTCAGGACGCACTACAGGCATTGTTCTAGATAGCGGAGATGGAGTTTCACACACAGTACCAATTTACGAGGGTACGTTTTATTTATTTCAATCAAAAAATTATTTTTTTGAATCATATTCTTTTGTTTAAAATTCATGTAATTTATATTATAAGATTAAAACCTTTTACTAATATAGTACATAGTTTTCATTAATTTTTATATTAATTTACTTTTCTTTATAATATTAAAAAAATAATATTAAAAAAATAAATATTTTTGTTACAAAAATTATATATTTTTATAATCAATATTGTGTAATTTTATCGCGACAAGATATTTTTACATACTAAATGAAAATGGTATTCTTCATTTTTTTTATTTGAAATATTTAATTATCCAAATTTTATTCAATTTTTATTTTTTAATTCAAATAAAAATTGAGAAAAAAGTTTATCTTATTTATAAATATAATAAATTCTTACATTTTTCTTACAAATTTTTTGTTAAAATATTGTAATATAAAAATTATTTTTTAATGATTATTTTAAAGTTTAATATTTTTATCAAAATTCTTGTAAATTTTTATACAATTTTGTTTAAAAAATGATACATATATTAATTTTATCATTTCAAATACAATGAAAAATTCTATTTGATCCAGGATATGCATTACCGCATGCAATTTTACGTATGGATTTGGCTGGTCGTGATTTAACGGATTATCTTATGAAAATTCTAACGGAAAGAGGATATTCTTTTACCACTACCGCAGAGCGTGAAATCGTTCGAGATATTAAAGAAAAATTGTGTTATGTGGCTTTGGACTTTCAGCAAGAAATGGCTACGGCTGCTGGTTCAAGTGCTTTGGAAAAAAGCTATGAATTACCAGATGGTCAGGTAATTTTAACTTATACATCATTTATAATTTTTCTCCGATCTATCTGCATTTATAATAAATTTATATACAATTAAAAATATATATTTAAAAATTGATTATTTGATATAACTTCTAAAATGTTTAAATTGGCGAATTAATTAAGATTAATTTTAGGTGATTACTATCGGAAACGAACGTTTCCGTTGCCCAGAAGCAATGTTTCAGCCAAGTTTCCTCGGCATGGAATCATGCGGGATACATGAAACAACTTATAATTCAATTATGAAATGCGATGTTGATATTCGTAAGGATTTGTATGCGAATTCGGTTCTATCGGGCGGTACCACCATGTATCCGGGTATTGCGGACAGAATGCAAAAGGAAATAACGGCACTGGCTCCATCCACAATGAAAATCAAGATAATCGCGCCTCCGGAAAGGAAATACTCGGTCTGGATCGGTGGTTCGATCTTGGCCAGCTTAAGTACGTTCCAGCAAATGTGGATCTCGAAACAAGAGTATGACGAATCGGGACCATCCATTGTACACAGAAAGTGTTTCTAATTTTTTTTTTTTTTTTTGCTATGATTTCAAAAGAAATT